CTGAAATCGGTTAGCATTTTTCATGCTGCAAATGAAAATTGGATGAACAGCACAAAAGATGAGGAAACCCACCAATTCATTCTCCTTGTTTACGTTAACGGAATCAACTGAGAGAGATAGAGGAGGAGATGTTTCCACCGCAGATAGGCAACTTTGCTGGAACGAAGAGGAACAGAGAGGTCTGAAGCAAAGAGAGGGCTGTTCATCGGTTGCAGGTGCTTGTTGACACTATTGCAGCAGTGATGCTGCTGCTTAACATCTGTCTCCAAAAAGTTCTGCGTCGTGGTGCTCGGAAGCGCTAATTTAAATGAACTCACTTTGTATGCAGAGGCTTCCACTCAGTCAGTCACTGTGCGTAGCCGACGATCAGACGAAAGATAGGCACTATGAAAACAGAAATTTTTTTTTTTCAATCATTTTTGTCCACTTTTTGTCTTTCATTTTTCAAATTTAGTAGCTGAGACAACAGATTAAAACGGGTATGCAGTAAGAAGGATGAAAAATGAAGCTTAAAAAAGTGAAAAAAACAAACTCTTGAGAACAAAAAAGTGATTAAAAACACATTGAAATGTGTTTCTTCCTTTCTGGACTGCAACAGTCTGGCCAATAACTTCACAACGTATACCGACAAGAAGCTGAAAAGAGAAATACACAATGAATCCTCCATTGAGGTTTCTAACGGTCCTTTCCAACAACCTGTACCACATCGCCGTTAACAAAGACAGTGACTTACGATAACGATGACAGAAGGACAACGAACTGCACTTCTTACTTTGATCTTTATCTTTTATTAAAGTTCATTTACATCAGCAATGCTGCAGTGTTTTTTAAACATTGGTTTTAGTTCTACTTACTTCTCCCCTCCTTCCCGTTTTTTTCCGTCTCTTACTTTTTTCTGTTCTGTTAAAATGGTCGATAATTACGTGGTTTACTGGCAAAAATAAAGAAGTCTTTTTTCTCCTGCGCTTTTTTTTGTCTGTTTGTTTTGTGATTAAACAAATCAGTTATCAATAAACCGAAGCTGTCATTATACCGGCAATAGCAGTTAACGAGAGAAAAGTAAATAAAACAAGTAAATAGTAGAAATTAAGAACAAAAGTAAGAATTTAAATGTTAGCAGAAGAAAAAAAAAATGAAATTTTGCTAAGAGGATAATAATTTATTGAAAATAAACAGTCAGATTTAAAAAAACCTTTAAAAAAATGCTGTGGGAGAAAGTTTTCATTTTTTAACAATACGCTTTCTTCACCGAACGACAAAGACAACAGCACAACTTCTTCTCCAACTTTTGTTTGTTTTGGTCTTCTGTAAGTTTTTTCATTTTTTTCTATCTTCTTCTTTTCCTTCTTCTTGTCTTTTTATGTTTTTCTTTTGAACTTCACAAGTTTCATGTTTTCTTTACACAATAATTTGTTTTCCATTGTAGGTTTTATTTATTTATTATTATTATTATTATTATTTTTTTTTTTGTTATTTCCTCCTCTACAGAAACTTAATGCTTACAGATATCAATTAAAGGAATTTATTGAACTAACAGTCAGGTTGTGGGTAGTTGATTAGAGGTCATCAATATTTGGCTGCTAAATGCATTAGAATCAAAAGTTCGACTAACGCAGTTTCCCAATAATTAACGCCTTCTCTTAAAAACCTGATTAACATTTAGCAAAAAACTAAAAATAAGTTTTTTTTTTTTCTTGTTTCTCTCGTTGTTTTATTTTTGCTGTTGTCGTCGTTGTTTTTGTTGTTGTTGTTGTTGTTGTTGTCATAGTCGTTAAAAGAAAATGAGGAAATAAAACTACGGAGAAAACGAGTGAAAAGTGAAGAAAAGTTAAAAAAAACAATAGCCAATTCCGTCCCCCATTTTTGGAAATGAAATTAACGCATTTTGACGACCAAAACCGCCAAAATTGACTCGGCAATAACAGTTTCATCTAATTTTTCAAAGGCTAATGACTCGGAGAGATCATTTGATGCAATTTAACGATGGAAAAAATTTTTTTTATTTTTTAAATCAAAACTGTCACATTTTGCACATAATTTTTTTCAAGTTGAGGATGCTAACGCATTGTCGCTTAGGTATTCTTTGGTTCAGCAAATATACTGTAGCCTCATAGATTTTATCGTTATTACCGTTGACAATCCAACCTTAATATCGATATGTCGTTCTGCACAAAAAAGTCCCCACTTTTATTCAGAAAAATAGTAGTAGAAGAAAAAGAAGAAAATTAAGACCATCACCACCGACAACAGCAACAACAAGCGTCCTTGATTTCTACATTTTGTTCAAGTATCTTTTTCACCTTGTTATCGTTTCCGTCAAGCAACCATTTAAGTTCTACACGTTTTCAAATTCACTAATTCACTCTGTTGCTGATTTCTATAAACAATCACAGCTTTCTCGCTCCACAATATTTCTTCTCATAAAAATAAGAAAAAAAAAAAGATTAACAAAAGGAGTTTTTTTACCTTTTGACTTTCAATCCAACCAATTTGATGAAGCCAATAATTTTCTCAGTTGAGAAAAACAGCTTGCACAAAAAAACACCCTTCCTTCTTTTTTTCTGAATCTCCTATAAGTTATTTTCAGATTTTGTGCTTTTTTCTTCTTTTATCATATTTAACATTCCATAAAAATTGCAAATAATAGCCACCTGTTGTTCCAAACCTGGTTTAATTCAAATTTTTTGCCTTTTTTCAAAACATAACATTTCCGGTCAAATCTTTTTTTCAGTGCTCTAGAATGTTTTCAATAATAAATTTCCACTTCAAAAAAAGGGAAGTGAGAAAGTGGAAAAAACTTTCCTTTCAAAGAGTGACTAATTCTTTTGTTGCCAAAAATATTCACATAAAATGAACAACGTCGAAAAACTTCCATTTTTTGTTTTCCTCTTTTTTCACTCTTCTCCTAGTTTAACAACTTTTTTGACAGTTTTCTGATGAGGATCCATCAACAGATACATACTTACCGTATGAATAAATAAATAGATAAGCAAATAAATAAATTGATTAATTAGATTAATAAATAAGTGAATGAAAGAATAAATTAATTAATTAATAAGTAAATAAATTAACAAATAAATTAATAAATTAATTAACTAAATTAATAAATAAGTGGAGTGAATGAATGAATGAATGAATGAATAAATAAATAAATAAA